CAGCAATGCTACGCTCTACTGCTACAATGAGTAGCCTGCTTCTTTTGCTACTACTTCTGTAACTAATACTAATATGACTATTAGCATTATAACTGCTGCTATTACTACTACAACTGTTATTACTTTTTCTATAACTTATATTACTACTATTAATACCACTACTTTTTATGAATACTACTATTATGAAGTTTGTGTCCATGCTTTTCATTATCTTGTCTATGTGTTCTATTTTCACTCTCTTCTGTAAATGACTTCTATTCATATCAGATAACACTTTAAAAAGTGCTACATATATAAATTTTGCAATTACTACCATTAGTATTACTGCAGTGCAACTTTTAGTACTAGTACTTTTGCTATATACACTATTTTCCAGACCCATACACAGTCAAAAGTAGTGGCCAAGAAAACACAGACATACAAATACAGATGTAAGCAAGCTCCCCTATTTACTTTGTTGTGCATTTCCTGTCGGTCTAGAAGCATATGATCATATTTCATTTGAAAGATGTAAGGTGTATATCGAGAGCATGGATTCATCAACACAACAGTCATGTAGAGCAGCAAAAAAAAAAAAAACCCCATCAGATCAAAACAAAGAGACCAACAGTTTTATGAACCGACAGACAGACAGACAGGAGAGGAACAGAAGCAGACAGGCAGCAGAAACAGCCCGAGACAGACAAACAAAACAACCAGAATACATAAAGACAAGACATCAGACATTCAGGAAGGCACAGAGGCAGGCAGACAGACAGACAACAGAAACTCATTAATGTAGACAGAGAGGCAGACGCGCAGGAAGACAGGTAGCCCATTAGCAGATGAGAGAGTTTAGGCAATTTAGCAGCTGATGCAGGACTTTGCTTTCCCAGGGGGGTGAAGAGAGGAAAAGACAGCAGTGTGTGTGTGTGCGTGTGTGTGTGTGTGTGTGTATGTGCATTCATCCATGTAGTGCATATGTCTGATTTCTACATGGGTGGCACTATTAATGGATGGGGCTCTATTTTGGGTGAGGGCTGAGTCGGAGAGAAAGAAACACCAGGTTACCAAAGATAAGAGCATGGTTCAGCTAAAGGAAAGCTTAGATGTATCCATTATAACAGGTGTATAATATATAGTTAACGGACGGAGGGGAGTTTAGAAATAGGCTGTAGGGGCTTGAGGGGTGTGTGAGTGTGTGAATATGAGTTAAAGATAACAGCACAGTGTGATCCATCACCTAATTTACACCAACATGCGCTCGAGCCCCTTTTCCTTGCAGCGAGCCAATTAGGCGGATTCGTCTCATGACATCACCACACCCTCCCCGGGTGAAAATTGACACTGCTATCGCCCAGCATCAGTAAGAGGAAAAATGGACCACCCAAAAGGAAAATAAATGAAAGGGATGATAATGGGGAGAATTCTAAATATATGCACTTATTTATACATATATAATACACACACACACACACTATTCCTTTTTCCCAGCATGTTGTCGACTGTGTGTTTGTGTTTGTGTGTGTGTGTGTGTGTGTGTGTGTGTGTGTGTGTGTGTGTGTGTGTGTGTGTGTGTGTGTGTGTTACTGTGGTTCTTGGCTTTGTTTTGTCTGCTCTGTGCTGAATTGTTTTTTCTCTATGTTTGTTACTTTGACCAGTTTGCATGCTAGTAGATTCTTTGCAGCACAACTGTGCAAACAGGGTTTACACTTCTACTACACAGTTCATGAACATTATTTGATTAGACAAAACAGTGCGAGTATTCCCTGACGTAGGATTTAACTGTAGGTAATCACTTTACAACAGAAACAGCCTCATCATTGCATGTGGAGGCTGCGAGTCAAGAGATACACTAGCCCAGGTATTTACA